TAATGTGTCTTGGAGAAGATCTTCTTGGGCTGATTCTATTTGGGGTCCTTTGTATTTCTTGGGACTGGATCTTTGAGTGCCTTTCTAGGTTTGGAAAGTTTTCTTGCAAGGGTGTGGTGGCACCCGCCCTATGGCCAAAGTTTTCTTGCAGAATTTCAATGCCGTTATGAATAGATTATCAAAGCCGTTATGAGTCTCTTCACTTTCTGGGATACCAGTTATATGGATGTTTGGACATATGATGTTATCTAGTATTTCTTCTATATTATTCTCATTTTCAGGGGAGGGGGCAGTTTTCTCAGTCTTTGTGGTGGATTTTTCTAGGCCAGCAATTTTATCTTCTAGACCTGAGATTCTACTTTCGGTATGATCTAGTTGGCTTTTAATACTTTCAAGGGAGATTTTGACTTCCCATATTATAACCTTCATCTCTAACAGGTCCATTTGATTCTTTTTTTTTTTTTTTTTGTACAACACAAATCCATTTTTATTCATTTACGTTTCATTACTTTAAATCCTTGAGGGGAACAGCATCACATGGATTCTGGGTCCAGTGCCCTAAAAAAGCAGGAAGGTTGCTTTGGAATTTGACTCTAACCATGCCACTGTTTCCATGCACATGGGTAACCTTTCCCCAGATTACTCTGGTTTTATTTGGTTTGCCACCAGGAGTCACTGTATTGTTTTTTGCTTTGCACACATAAGCACACCTCTTGCCTAAATAGAATTCCGTTTCATCTCGTGCATAAACACCTTCAATTTTAAGAACTGTGTGCTCCCTTTGGTTCCTAAGGCCCTGCTTATAGCCAGCAAAAATGGCCTTGGACCTTTTAGAAGTCCTGTTCCCAGCAGGCCTCCACAGGTTGTTTGATTCTTTTTTATAGTATGTATTTCCTGTTTTAGATCTTGAAAGAATTTCCTCGCTTCCTTGTCAGCTCCTTTCTCCTGTGTCTTCTGCAGTTCATTGTCTCTCTTCTCTTCCATCTCTGTTAGCTTCATCATTACTAATATTCTAAATCCTTTATCAGACATTTCCATTTCTATTGAACTATCTGTGGATGAAGAGGAGTTACTCTGTTTCCTTGGAGGAGAAGTATTTTCTTGCTTTCCCGTATTTCTTGTGAACCTGTGGTGTTTTCTAGTCATGTGATGGATGGTGTTTTTCTTCCAAATTCTTGAAGTTCAATCTGAGTGTTCAGGAGATCTGGAATCTCTTTGCCGTACCATTTTTATCCCTTTGTGCAGCAGATTCAGTGGATATTGAGGAATATGTTAACCCTAATAGTATTTAGATGTTTGGTTATGGTTCTCTTAGATCCACGTAAAAACACAGTGAATCGAGATTAAAGAGCAGAGTGATGAGGTAAAGGAAAAAGTGAAGGAAACAAAGA